TCTGTGCACTGATGAAGATGAACCAACACAAATGACCGTGCGTATATCGCGAGACCTTTCAGCTATCCAACGGCCTGTCAGATTTAATGACTACAACGTGTACAAACAGCATTCTGAAGTTGAAAGAGCCTGAAACATATGACGAGAGCAACGAAGTCTCCTGAATACGCCGACTGGAAACGAGCCATGGACGAAGGAAATGGCTTCTGCATGCCAAACCATGGAACATGGCAACTTCGTTGAGCCCCCTAACGGACGTAAAATCCTTCAACAATTCACTGAGTTTACAGAGTGAAGACAAATCCGGATGGCTCAATCGAGAGATTTAAGGCCTGTTTGGTAGCAAAAGTGTATATCGACGGCGAATATCGACTACAAAGACACATTTAGCCCGGTGTGCTTCTATGATACTATTCAAGCTCTAATTGCAACGGCAGCCAAGGAGAATCTCAACTTATATCAAATTGACGTGGAGATAGCATTCCTTTATGGTGTTCTAACTGAGGAGATCTACATGCATCAACCCAAAGGCTACAACGACGGGAGTAAGAGTGTATGCAAGATCTTCGACCTTTATACGGCAAGAAACAAGCTGGACGATGTTGGAATGCCAAGTTTACCTACGTGATGAATAAACGTGGCATGATACAAAGTAAATCCGACAACTGCCTGTTCATAAGAAATGATTATGGGCATAAGATGCTGATGGCGATTTAGGTTGATGATGGCATTGTCGCAGTTCAGGACAAAGCGGCATTCTTCACATTTATGGACGAGCTCAAGCAACATTTTAACATTCGAGTAACGACGTTAAATTGTTTCCTTAGTCTACAAGTAGAACGTTTGAAAAACAGCTCACTCTTCCTGCACCAAGAAGCATTTACAAGAAAGCTATTAGAACAATATGGAGATGCTAAGACATCACACATTCCAGTAAAGAAGTCAAGTCTCAAGATCGACTATGGTCAACCAAATGACGACGGCATGATCAAGATCAACTAGGTGAGGCCTCTCAGCAGTGAAATTCCATGCCGATCAGTGGTTGGCAGTTTGCTGTACTTGGCGATGGGGTCTCAATCGGATATTGCTTATGCAGTGAGTTTGATGTCTCGAAAGCTGAACAATCCTACAGAGATTGATTGGGAAATCGTACAAACAGCATTAAGATACTTTGGCAATACCATAGGACACGACATTGTGTACAGTAATGAAGATGATAGAAGTTTGATGTTGTTTAGTGATGGAGATAACAACAGCTGTGCAGAAACACGCAGGTCTCGAACAGGTGTTATTTCTTTCTATCGTGAAGGTGCAATTACGTGGCAAAGCAAGCTACAGGAGGTCATATCCAATTCGACGACAGAAGCAGAGTTCATGGCAGCAGCTGATGCCACAAAAGACTTGACATGGTTGAAGAGCTTGTTCAATGAGATAGCTAAGAAAGTACAAATTGATAATCAGAGTACTATCAAGTACATCAAAAATCCACTGTTCCACACACGCACATAGCACATTGACCAAAGCTACAAGTTTGTGCAAGATGAGTTCTCGAAGAGACGTTTTCAATTAGACTATGTCACAAGCAACAAACAGACATTTTGACGAAGGCGCTTACAGCACCTCAGTTTCATTTCCAGAAGAAATTTATTGGTGTAAAAACAGTCAATAAGTAAAGGTTAATCTATATGAACAATGACTATTTTCGTGCTCGAAGGAGGCTGTTGAGAATCAAGCATTTAATTGATATTATGTGCAGTATCAGTGGCATCACTGTTTATTATTTTCTTATGTTTTATGCATCTGACATCACTTTTTACTTTCGTCATTTTAAAAGTTGTCATGTAAACAATAAGACGTATGTAAGTTCTTTTTACTTTTTTTTTTTTTTTTTTTTTTTTTGTTGTTGTTAATAAAGTTCAAAAATCCAATTAGCCATCACTCTGTTAATTTTATAACAGTACCAAACAGTGGGAAGATAGTTTTTTGTTGCTACAGTCAAAAGTCTTTAATCCGGACTTGTCGGGACTTCGGCGATTCCGGATTATAGATCATCATTTTAAATCTGGTAAGATGGCATGCAGCAGAAATTACAAAATTAAAAATATGAAACCGTAATTTATGAAATAAAGAGCAATTATGATTTAAAGGGTATCAAAAAAAAAAGCTTAATATTTATTTGTTTACTTTATTAAACATTTCTATCAACGCGCACATGCCTAGAGCATACATTACGCATAGTCGAAATAAGAAAATTGCAACCAGAAAACTATTTGATGTGTACTCGTGATATTTATAATGACGAGGAATTTGATTTAAATCATATCAAAGACGGAATACATCGAGATGAAATACTACATTTAGTAAGGAATTATAAGCTGAATAAAATAAAAACATCTGCCCGGAAGATAAGGATAGTGCTGACAGATCATCTTCCAGTTCATTTTGCGCCGTGACGTTCACCACCCCTGTAGAGCAGCGCGAAATTGATAAACAGATTTCGGAATGGTTTAGAGAAACAAAGAATATGCCTTTATCCATTTTTTTGCAGCAATTCCACTTTTTGTTTGATGGACATTGAAACATACTTCGCTTTGTAGATCTTTTGGCAGCTCCAGCATCGGAAATTCTATTTGACATAATCGAAAGTTCAAGCTTACTTTTATAAAATTATTCTAACAGAGTGCAAAAAATAATAAGCCGGATCCAATTAGAAGATTAAGAAATGATGCAATCTCCAACATTAACTGAACTAGATAATTAGATAATTTTAGCTTAGCTTATACCGTCCGTTATACATTAAACGCGCATGCGTAAACGTATTATGCACACACGCATTTGCGCATGCGTGAACGCATTATGCGCTGACGCATGCGCAGAAAGTTTGTAGCTTTGAGGTCCACATTATAGATCATTCTGGATTAACAACTTTTGACTGTATTACAAAGCACAGTGCAAAAATTAATTTTTAGACTGGAGGTATAAAGAACAGGAAACTGCTGACAATACTGGCATTTTCCTTTTTTTAAAGACTAATTTGACAAAATGGTACCAAATATTGCTTGACATTCTTTGTTCTGCAAACTTGAAAAACTATATTAAATAGAGAAAGTTATGTTTATAAAGATACACTAATTTTGGTACTATTCGGTTTCGAGGGCCATAGAAAATCGCCGAACTATTGTTGATGCCAATGCTGCCAAAAATAGCTGCGGCAACCCTAATAATTGCAGCAAGAAAGGAAGTATGATAGTAAATAACTATTTAAGTTTTAAGTGTTTTAATTTAGATGAAAGGTTAATTTCATATAATACTTTTTTATTATTATAATTTACATCAAAAAGGCTAAACATGACTGAATGGAAGCATAAGAGTAAATAACTATTTCAGATCATTATTGTAATTTATATAAAAATTGCTAAACATAACTGAATGGATGCCTGCATCGCTATTTCGCTACCGACTTATCGCTAAAGCATAATTTCATCTCATTGGTCGTTCAAACGTAATTTTCTATAATGAATGATGCCTTTTCTTTGAAAATATTCTCGGCAAAGTGCAAAATCACTCACTTGTTTGTTTGCCGCTTTTTACAAGGGTAAAAACAATTGGATTCTGTCAATTTTCTTTTACTTTTTAAGTGAAAATAGGTTGATGTGTACATAGATAAAGTAAAGGGTGTGCGCAGTGCCATTTTTGTGCAATTCTAGGATTTTTTTTAAAGTGTAAGTAGGTTGATGTGCACATGAATACCGAGTATGTGCAATTCTAAAAAACGCGTCAAGCAGTGGATGATTCTGCACTTTACCCAAAATTCTACTACCGACTTTTCGTCATGGGCAATTCCCTAATTGTTAAACCCATAGAATATCAAAAAAGGATTTAAAATCAAAAAGGATTTAAAAATTAAACTAGCACTTCAACGGAGTTTTAAGAAATATAAAACTATATAAACTTACGCAATCTGAAATAGCGCGTACGCTAGATTTGGTGCGCTCTTAAGTGGGCGCGTTTGCTATATTTGGCCCTTTTGCACATACATTTTCGCTGCAATTTTTTTACAGCCCTCAAAATGGAATAGTACCCTAATTTTTAAGAAGATTGGAGAGAAATTTACAGCTCTTCACTACAAGACATTAGTAAAATAAGAAATAAAAATATAATTTATTATTTTACATAAATGTTACAATAATATTGTATAAAAAAGGTAATACCTAATATACATAGTTACACTACGCCACAGTATTCAAAGAATCAAAATGAAACTCAAAGGAACAGCTTTGAAGAAGCAAAAAGAGCAAATAATCAAGATTCCACAGGAGCCAGATTTGCGGTTAGAACAGGAGCATCAGAGCGATGAAATGAATGAATAATGAAAACCCTGTAGGAATCAGATCTGCAGCTAGACGAGTGATGAAAAGAGCAAATAATCAAGACTCTGAAGGACCTGTATCTGCAACTACAGGAGTGCCAGAGAGCTGACAGCTGGAAATCCGAGGAGGAAACTGAGCACCTATAATCTACATACTTAAAACAGATCCTCGCACTGCCAGATGGAAAAAAACCTCCATCCATTCGTCAAAAGGAGTGATCGGTTTCGCTGAGATGCATCGGGTTATTTAATGCTTTGTTTTGTAAATACTAAATGGAACACAAGCATACCAGAAGCATACATATATAACACACACAAATTAAAAAAAGGTAAGAGACGATCAAATTTTTGGCACACTTCCCAACAAGAGCTCTCCGTGAACTGTTTAAGAACTAACGCTCTGTTCACTGGTTCGGAGATTGCTCGTTCAGTAAAGTAAATTGGTTCTTGGAATCTGTTTAAGAGCAGATCATCTATCTCTAGTATATACCTTACGCAGAATATGAACTTCAGAACTTACCTCTCAATACAGAACAATTAGCTGCAAATCACCTACTAATTAATTTTGCAAGCATCTTTAAAATCTTTTGTATAATATGACAAACAACTAAAAAATTTTTCATTTACTTACTTCAGCTGTTAGGTATTCAAGAATAGCAGCACTATAGACAGCTGCAGTTGCACCAACTCGACCATGACTTGTAGTCCGACTTTTCAAATGTCTATGTATACGACCCACTGGGAACTAGAATGAAATTCTAAGATATAATGTCGTGTATGAATTGTTGTAGAAGAGAGAACGAGATTTTAAATAACTCTTAAAATAGAAAAATTGATCAAAATAATAAAATTTATCGCTCTTATTGGATTTAGTTACACCCAGCAACACACCACAAACAATTTCTTTGTACCTTTTGAAGATAAAATCTAGTATTTTGATTTCTGATAGATGTTGTCAGACAATAGTATATTAAATGGCATCAAATGAATTTTTATTCCCTGCCTTCATAAGAAGACACATGATGACAATGTGTAGCAGCTTGCCGCTTATTCTTCCATTCTACTCATTTCCATATGCATACAATATTTTGTATATGGAAGCCAGTCTCAGGATCAAAGACAGAATTTCTATTTTTTTTTTTTTTTTTTAAAGCATTTTTATTTTTACTCATACCACCACCTCTGAAAAGGGGAGAGAATGTTAAGATGAAAAGGAAAAGAAAAAATCTCATCTTTGTACAAGAATCAGATACAGATTCTAGGATTGCCATATACTCGCAAGAATTACAACCCACAGGTGGTATTTTTTGACAATGTATTGGCAGCTACCAAATAGCCATTAAGTACCAGATATATTTCTGCATGTTAAATTAACATACACTATTTTCTAAAAGTGCGATTAAATAATTATAGGGCTATTAAAATGCAAAATCTTTAGTATACTGGAAATTTCTGATCAAACTAATTGCTTTATACAAAATCTATAAAAAGCTGCATTCCAAATGAAAATGTTTTGTATCTGGTATTTACAGAAAGTTCCATTTCTTTAACTTAGTGATGTTCAAAGAGAAAATTTTTGCATACAGCTTCATTTGAAATGAAATACTTCAGCAATGAATGTGGTAATTTAAAACTGGACATTTCTCAAGTTTTCATTACATTATTAACTATATTTCATAAAACTGAGAGAAGTCCGAGTTCTGACTGCCATACATATTTTAAATTTTGTGGACAGCTTACAACTGCTGTATTAAGCATTGTATTTTGGAGACCTCCAACTAAGAAACGCTTATAAAACATTTAAAAATTAATACACCAAAGCATATATTTCAAGATAAAGAAATTAATTAGAAGAAATCGGATATCGCCTAACTAAAAATTAAAAATTTCTTTAAAATTTATCTATACAGATTTCAAGTATCGAACTTTATAGTATATTAGCAAACAATTTCTGAAACTTCCAGAAATCAATTAAAAAATAATATACGTTTCAGTGGAAGTTCAGTGGTATACGTTTCAGTGGAAGTAAACATGCATGGAAATAATTTAAATATTTGACACTAAGTATTTGTAACCATTTGTAATATTTGCGGTATGAATTCGTTGGTGACGTTTATAATATAATAGATAATTTAGAGGTAAAAGTTTTTGGATATTTTATTTATTTTATAGGTGAAATGTTCATCCTTGGAAAGGTATATACTTTTTTCGCGATCAGGTAATTTCATATATGTTCTTTTTACCGGATTTAAAGATTCACAAAATTTTCATGCATTTTCGTGAAATTTTTCTAATTTTATGAAAAAAGCAGTGTACATGGATATAGTGAAGAGTGTGCGCAATGCCATTTTTGTGCAATTCTGGGATGTTTTTTTAAGTAAAAATAAGTCGACGTGTACATGGTTTAGTGATATTTTAATTAAATGATAGTTATTTTGTGAATTTTATGTTTGTAGGAATTTGGTATACGTTTCAGTTGAAGTAAACGTGCATGGAAATAATTTAAATATTTGACACTAAGTATTTGTAACCATTTGTAATATTTGTGGTACGAATTCGTTGGTGACGTTTATAATATAATAGATAATTTAGAGGTAAAAGTTTTTGGATATTTTATTTATTTTATACGTGGAAATGTTCATCCTTGGAAAGGGTATATACTTTTTCGCGATCAGGTAATTTCATATATGTTCTTTTTACCGGATTTAAAGATTCACAAAATTTTCATGCATTTTCGTGAAATTTTTCTAATTTATGAGAAAAAAAGCAGTGTACATGGATATAGTGAAGAGTGTGCGCAATGCCATTTTTGTGCAATTCTGGGATGTTTTTTAAGTAAAAATAAGTCGACGTGTACATGGTTTAGTGATATTTAATTAAATGATAGTTATTTTGTGAATTTTATGTTTGTAGGAATTGGTATACGTTTCAGTGGAAGTAAACGTGCATGGAAATAATTTAAATATTTGACACTAAGTATTTGTAACCATTTTGTAATGTTTGCGGTATGAATTCGTTGGTGACGTTATAATTAATAGATAATTTAGAGGTAAAAGTTTTTGGATATTTTATTTATTTATACGTGGAAATGTTCATCCTTGGAAAGGGTATATATTTTTCGCGATCAGGTAATTTCATATATGTGCTTTTTACCGAGTTTAAAGATTCACAGAATTTTTGTGCATTTTCGTGCAAATTTTTGTAATTTATGAGAAAAAAGCAGTGTACATGGATATAGTGAAGAGTGTGCGCAATGCCATTTTTGTGCAATTCTGGGATGTTTTTTTAAGTAAAAATAAGTCGACGTGTAAATGGTTTATGTGTATGTGCTATTCTGAAAAACGCGCAAGGAGTTTGCGATTGTGCACTTTTTCCAATTTTGCAGTTAATATTTGTCATGATTAAGCAGTTTTGTTACATAAAATTTCTAGCATAAGTGTAATTCGGCTAGTAGATTGTTGGAAAAAAGTGTTCAGTAAATAAAAAGAAAAGAAACATGTCTTTACTTCGTGAAGACAAAATGGCGGCAAAAAAAAAAATAGAGGGTTGCTGTAGCAGAGTTGGTCGCCAAATTTTCGCCAAAAAATCACTAATTTACCATAATCCAAAGATCAACCCAAAATACTTTTATGTATTCCCAGGGTCATCAAAGTTCAGTAAAGCACTGCTTTGAGTAATTAATCAAAGTTTGAATGAATCTTAAAAGATAACAAGATGTATAATGTTTATTCTAGTTTTATTTACAATGCTACTTTAAGGATTTGAATATTATTGAAGATTCTTGGCATTGTCAAATTTATTATGAAAAAGGTAGTTGTTTCAAAATAAAATATTTTAAGCTATCAGCAAGTAAATTCAAAAAACAACTTTGAAAAATTGCTTGTGTAAAATGAATGTTTTAAATGTATTATTTAGTAATGAATCCATTAATCTATTATATGTACAGTAGCACTAACTATTAAACATAATTTTGAGAATATCGACAAGCAAAGCACTTAAAAAGACAATTTTCACTAAAAATATTAGTATTCTGTATGAATGACAGAGAACATATGTAATGAATACCATGCCAAATATCTATATAAAGAAAGAAAAAAAAAAGATTATCTACATAGACTACATTAAAAAAGTAATCCTGCTATGCAACACATAGTTAATTTCTGATTACATGATATTGCAAGCATTTTCTTCAGATTTTTCTTACAACTGGTTAAGACCATTGAATACTGGTAGTTTGATCTGGTTTCATATGGTTAAAGGGCTGGCTGCATGGTTGGTTTTTCTAGTTTTCTTCACATGTAATGCAAACACAAGAAAGTTGTTCAAAAAGGCATCTTTTTCAGGTCGATAGCCGGTATTCTTTGCCATATTTGAATAACCTAAACTTTCCTTCAGATTCTACATTGACATGATATATCTGTTGTAAGCAGGACAATGATCATTCCGCCTCTATCCATGTGGCAAGAGTATATTTAAAACATGTCAGAATCATGGGATTCATAACAAAATCGACCATGTTTAAATCTTGAAAACTTTATAAATTTTCCTGATTCTCTTAAGTCATGGGTTTCACTAACAAGATATTCATATTTTTGTTCAAGTTCACAAGCAGTTGAGCAATACAATTGCTGAATACTGGTAGTTGACCCAAGTTGGAATCTTCAGTATTCAGTATCTTGGGCCATCACACTGTCATGCCCCCTAAAGTTATTACTGCTTGGCATAATAACAATCTCACCTGACCATCTCTCCACTTTGTCAAAACTAATATATCAGCTGCAGTCTCTCCAAAGACTCTGGATCAAAGATTATAACAGAGATTTAAAAATATCTTTCTTAGAATACAAATAGGTTTGTCAACGTCTGGCAACAATTCATGAACTTTTCACACAAAGCATTTACGACTCATTTCAGATACAACGTTTTGAGAAGTGTTTCATGTGCCTTTTTCATACGTATGGCTGCATCATTCAGAAGAAAATGATGTTGTTATGTTTAATTTCATCAGGCCTGATGCAACGTCTAAAATACTGGAACTGCTGGTTTTTCCCACATCTGTTATAAGGACAAATAATTTCAATGATATCCTGGAAGTGGAATTATTCTAGGGTACATATTAATTTGTCAACAGCATTGGTTATTTCATAAATGAAAATGAGAATACTGCTTTTTCCATTCTCACTTTGGATATTCTAAATTGAACTAATGTATACAGCATTGAATTATATACATTTTAAGGTAAATTTGCGGAACATCATTTCTTATACATTTCCAAACATCTTTTCAGAGATGGACTTTCTTACAGGATTGAGATAATGAAGATATTGTAATATTTTGTTATTTAACAAATAAATATATATTTATTATTGAAGTGGCAATGCCATATTTGTATAATGTAACTGTTGCTCAGCAACATAAGAAACTGTTTAAAATGAGAATTCTAAAGTTTTACCAGCTAGTAGTTTGATAATATTTGTTTACAAAGCATAATTTTAAGTTTTAATATTTTGGCAACATTGATATTAAATTGTAAAAAGAAGGAGTTAAAATGTATCTGGAAGAGAGAAAGTTTTATTATTATGGTTTAGTAGAATGTGGTAAGATTTCTTATGTCTGATTTTCTTTAATAAAAATTTCTTTTTGTACATTGCCATAATGTATTTTTGTTAGAAGTGGATGATTCTTTTGAGAATGTTATATATATGCCAATCTTAAAAACCAACATAGTTGAATGAAAATTTTGCCACTAAAGAATTTCATTCAAATTATCTATCTCCATAAACTAAAAATAAAATTTATGTTTTATTCAGGGGCGTAGCTAGAGGGAGGCCATGGGGGGCATCTGTCCCGGGGCGCAGAACCTAAGGGGCGCCAAAATGATGTAACGACATTTTAGAATTAAATGTTTTCCATCCTTGGCAAGCAGTAGGGGGCACGAAATCTTCAGTTGTCCCTGGGTGCTGAAAACCCTAGCTACGACTCTGGTTTTATTAAGAAGATCATCTTGTCAATTACTGCAAAATACTTTACAATATATTTAGTGATCATCAGTCTGAATCAGAAAGAGTGCGACTCTTCAGAAAACATTCCTTGTGATCAAACTATTTTGTAGGAAAAGATAAAACAACAAAATGGAAGAAAGAACCCTTTCGAATTAAAAGATTCCCATAATATTATAAAAAAATTGCCTGGCAATACACATATATCTAAAAGATGTGGCTTCACCCATCGATGCATGGAAGCTAATATTTGATGACACATTGATTGAAATGATTGCAAGATGCTCTAATATTTATGTAAAAAATGTATCGGGAAATTTTAAAAGAGATGCAAAACCTATAGAGAAAGAAGAGTTTCTTGCTTTTTTAGGACTCATATAAATGGCTTGCACAAATCCTCCCGTGTAAATGCTAGAGAATTATGGGCGATTGATGAAACAGGATTGGATATTTTTCATAAAACAAATGAACTATAAGCGTTTTCTTTTCATTCTTCATGCCTTATGATTCGATGATGTCGGAACACGGGAAGACAGAAGAAAAAGTGATAAACTACCTCCAATAAGAGATTTGTTTGACAATTTTGTCCAGAATTGTCAGAAATTATATCATGTAGAGTAGTACGTGACCTTAGATGAAAAGCTGGAGCCTTTTCGAGGACGATGCTCCTTTTGGCAGCATATGCCTAAGAAACCTGCAAAATATGGTATACGGATATTTACTGTGAACCTTCTATACTTTCAACATGGAAATTTACTCAGGTCAGCAGCAGATGGGCCATACAAGAAAGTCAACAGTTCTTGTGAAAAAGCAAAGCACATCCTAGCTCCATTATACAATTCTGGCAGAAACGTTACCAGAGACAGTTGGTATACCAGTTATGAATAGGCCAATTTCTTACCGAAAAATAAAATTTCTATTGTTGGAATAATATGCAAGGATAAGAGGATTATCTCACCTGAATTTGTGTCAAATAAAAATAGAGAACAGCATTCAACTCTCTTGGAGTTTCAAAAGGATACAATGCTACTTTCTTATATGGCTGAAAAGCACAAATGTGTTAACTTTTTGTCAGCTATGCACAATGATGACCATATTGATGAAAGCACAGGTGATTTGAAAGAATCTGAAGTAATTACGTTTTAAAACGTGACAAAAGGAGCAGTTGATATAGTCGACGAAATGGGTGGCACTTATTCTGTGGCAAGAATATCAAACCGATGGCCTATGGGCATATTTTTTTGCTCTTAAATATTGCTGGCATAAATTCACGGAGCTTGCTTTTATCTACTAAAACTCCACCAGAGAAGTTCAGGAATGAGGCACTTTTTGGCCTTTGCACTTTTAGGTTCCTCATTTGAAATCACAACAGAAACATTAGGAATACAACGAAGATTCTCTTGAAGATTCGCAAAGAAAAGAAAATTATGTTACCGGAGATGTTACATGTGCTCAAAAAAAAACAGAAAAAAAACTGTATATGTGAAGTGTAAAAAAAATATATGTCAAGAACACTGTGAAATAGAACTTCATGTATAAACTAAAAATATCTAATTTTTTTAGTTTAATTGATTTGAAAATTAATTATATAACTCATTGCCCATGTAATAATTCTGCATAATTGGGATTATAACTGCATTCAAAAATAAAAATAAAAATAAAACAAATTTCTCATTGAAATCAATGATTCCTAGTCATCTGAAGAAAACGTAAGTATTTTTGATTTATTTGTTATTAATTTTAAAATTAACATTATTTTTAAGCTATTTTATATAATAAACGTTGCAATTAATACAGAATGCATTATTTTACTGAACTGCAATAATATGTTTCATATAAAAATGAAACATATGTCATTTAATTGCGACGCGCATTCTCGCGACGTCCTTCCGGGTTAACTATACATCGCTACATGTCATTATCAACCTATTTACTTTACTTCTATATGCTAAATATCGTATAACTTGACTGTACACCGCTTAAATCATGGCTTCCATATGAATATCTTGCAATTTAACTATACACCGCTAAAATCATGACCGATTAGCCGTTGGTGAGTTTGGTGAATAAATACGCACCAGCGCCAATGGATCCGCTGAGAAAGAAAACCCGGTAAAGTAGTAAAATAATATTTAAAGCTTTTAAACAGTATAAAACTTACTTGCAGTCCAGCTCTAGCAGATCGTGAAATCGCTTTAGTCTTAGATTTCCCGGAATCTTTACCAGCTTTTCCTCCAGCCTATTACAAAATACCCAACAAATGTTCTGTTATATCGCTTTGAAAATTATACAGATTATAAAATATAAAGCTACTTACCATGTCTTAAATAAAAGCAGGTTTTATAGCTGAACGGAAAACTCACTACACACTAAGAACAACGAATTCCGTTCCTATGTTCGCGGCAAAATGTAGCAATACTGTTGACGTTTGATTGGCCAATAGCGTGCTACCAATAAAACAGCTTTCGACTTTCTTCTTTCTCTTGAAGCTTGGCTTCCCTTTGGCGCCTTGTATATATTCTAAAGTGGTGCCAGACACCAGGGTACCTGGGTATTCCTAACCCTACCCCTCATCGAACAAATTATAGTATAGTTTCGAATATATGTGAATTATAACTGAATGCATTAATGAACATATCTTAAAATGTTGTGGATATACATAATTATCAGGTAATGGTACATAATTTTTTGACAGCATATCTCCTAACGGTAACTTAAAGCAATAATCTGGATAGAAAGCCAGTCAAGCACAGAAGCTGGAAAGAGAACATAGACAAACATGGCAAAACAAAAGAGGTAAGTACGCTACTTCATTTGGCGCTTTATGCTCCAATTCAAATATAGGGGTCTAGTCTGCATACTGGTCGAGATCGATGACGGAAAGGCACCGTATCCTCCCAACGTGCGACGAGATCTCTAAACGAGAGTGACGTCTCATATGACGCGTTCTTCGTGCGAAGCAACAATTTGCAATCCTCGAGCACCAATCGAAACCATTTCATTCCGAGGTGGGGCAGCGTTCGAGATAGACGTCTTATCGCTTCGCATTCCGAGGTGCGACAGCGTTCGAGATAGACGTCTTATCGCTTGGCTCTCCGTTTCCTTGCGTTGCTACCACCCCCGCTACTGTACCGAGTTGATCGACCTCGCCTCACGGGCTCTGGGTTGTTTCTTCTTTGGCTTTCGCATCGCCAAAGCGTCGCCTTAACTGCACTGCTGCACCCTTCGCTGGATAAAACAGGTCGTATTTCATTCTTTCTTCTGATTTTCTTCATTCACCGTGCTGATAAGGGTACCTTCGGGTCCGCCCTTTAATAAGGCCTTTTTCCAACTTATTTGCCTCACATGATTAATCAATATGACACACAACAAACGTAACTAATAATAACATGAACAGGAAAATTCACCTCCAACTCAAATCTTCACATGAGACATCTCAATGATGAACCCAACGTTCTCCATTTTAAGTCACAAATTACTTTATCCAAGGACGTCGAAACTCCCAGATCCTTGGTGGAAGATACCAAGATATCCGTAACGACCAAATGTGATTATGCCGCTATAAAAAGAACTAAACTTCTCCTTTAAAAGCCATCATCAACTGCGTATGCAGGAAAACGAGATGGCAATGCAAAAATAAACGAATTAAAAACCTCAAACGAAAAGCTCACTAAACAATTTGAAGAGATTAAAAACTCTGCGACATACTTCAATCCATTAGGGTTCAAAACAAAGAAATTGCGCCATAGACAAGGGACTCTGATCCGATAAGGAGCCTTCTCTCAAAACCAGCAATCGATATAAACATAGAGAACCAATAGACGGCATGCATTTGGACAGGAAGATGAATCAGCCACTCAGCTCACTACCACCCCAAAGACCACCCAAAAAATTGACCCATTCCCGCAAATAGAAACCAAACTCTAGCCCAAAGCAAGCAGAATTGATAAGTGCCCATTATGTCGTAGATGACGTACCAAAGCGGATATTCTTAAAAACTTCAAACCGGAAAACAAGCAAACGGAAAAGAGATACCTGCACCTTAAAAGGACGCCGCCTTAAATACAAACTGCAGACTCTGACTCACATCGATTCATTCGCAAAATAGTTGAAGAAACAAGCTTAAGCCACCCTACTTATTGTTCCGAAGATAAGTTTTAAAAAGTCATGATAGAGGCTTACCCATCACCACAGATCCCGAACATCACTCAAGAACTACTTGACAAGGATTCAAGGTTACCTCATTACACTATTAAGAAACAAAGAAAATAAACCGATGCCGCTTTTCTTAGTACATATACCAAATCAGAAGAAAATAAGGAAGTATTCAAAATCAAACGCATAGGTTATATGAACGTATCAATGAGTCATTACGCAAGAAACCTGGCCCTCCACAATGCTATAGATGCCAGGGATTTTTTCACAGTTCCCTGCTCTGCACCAGAGATTGGGTATGCGTCCCTTTGCGGAGCAATCATAAACCTATAGAATGCCCCCACAGCCGACCACCAGCCATATGTTCACGTGCACGGTCCTCACCCAGCCAACTTCTCAAATTGCCCGGCCAGACCAAAAAAAACCAGTTCCAACCAGTCCTCCACCCATCAATCCCTAACTAACAGAGACTTTCCTCCGCTGACATCAAACAGTAACGAAATCTCGCTCAAACCTCCATTCAAAGGAAAATCCAACAGAAGAAACTACCACACCGCAGAATCCTCCCTGTCATAACCTCTTTGACTATACTCTTCGCTAAAAAACATCTGGACAATAGTGATACAAGTACTCAAAACATTAACCCTTAGCCTGTCGAGTGATTTTCTGCTAATCTCCCTTTAAAACTGTCTTATTTGGACCGAACTCCCGTAAAATGGCGAAAATAACCCTAACCTCTGAAATTGTCAAGCAGTTCTTTTGTTATTTCCATCCCTCCCAAATTTAGATCAATTGTTCCGCCTAAAAGAATGATTGCACTGAAACATTAGTAGATGCGAACTGTCAAAACTTTGCGAATAATAGCCTCTCTCTGACGGACCCTGGGAGTGCTCTAGGGTAATTGTCCACCATACTCAACATTTCATGTCAACGGTATCAAACTAAAGGATATTCTTTCATACAAACATCTCAGTTTCGAATAAATTGCTTTTAAAATTTGCCTGTTTTCATTTTAATTTTATGTTTTTTAACCAGTTACCCAGATTTCGAAGTCACTGATTCATTGCATCGATTAAATTGCATTATAATTTATTAATAAATCTGTATTAACTGGTACATGTTTCATTCCTTCGTGATACTGTTACCACATTTAAATAGCATTATTATTAGTTCTCTTGAATGTTTATTATTTTCCGATTTTTTTAGCATAAATTAAAAATCTTTAAACATAATCTTTTTCTATATTTTTTTGCATGCAATATAATTTCTTTTAACAGTTCTATAATCCTTATAGATATATTCCTTTTTATATTTTTAAGATGTTTAGCAAATATTCGAATAATTATTATAAAAAATGGTGTTTTTGATTTCTGCAGTTTAATCAACGGAATATGATGTACTTTTAAAACTGCTTTTTAAGAACTGATAGTGAAAAATAAGGTATTTCCAAACTTTAGGCTTTCTCTTATGCTCAAATCGAATCTTTTTCCGAAGGAATGGTGTTTTCTGGAAAATTATTTTTATTTGTTTTTTATAGTTGAAAAATTTATAGAAAGATTTTTAAACAAATTTAATATTCACTAACTTTGTCACTTTGTGACTAAATGTCTAAAATTCGTGTAAGGAAGCATTTTTAAAATATACGTGGATTGCTGATTGAAAGAGGATAGGTATTAAATATGACTTATTTACGGAACAAAGATTTGGATTATTTAAGGACAGTTTGAATCTCAATGCAAACTATATCAGCTCCAAAATAACACTCTTCTTTTTAAGGATTGCATTTTTAATGGTATTCTTGCAGAACTTAGAAAATTCATGCAGCTTAGAATTATTATTAATTGACTGAGTTAAAATTCTACTTTTCTGCCACTAACATAACTTATGGAAATAGATTTAAAACATTACGTTTAAGAAGTATTTTCTCACTCCTTCTTTAGGCCCTTCGTGGTGAATCTTTAGCACATTGGGCGTGTATTCGAAGGTCCAGGTTCGAGTCCTGGCTAGGGCATTGCCACATTTTTCATGTTTTCTTATTTCAAAAATAACCTAATGACTCTTCAGTGGCACTCGAACTAAAAAAGGTATGCTGATGATTCTTCACACCTCCTGATATGGTGATTGGGTACCCTAATCCCCGGTCGCTCTTTAAAAGGGAGAGTACATAAGGTATTTTCCCCCTCCTTTCTTTATACCTTCGTGCTGAATGGTTCGCACACTCGGCGCGATTTGAGAGGCCCAGGTTCAAGTCCTGGTAGGGGGCATTGCACATTTTTCGTTTCTTACTTCAAAATACCGAATGACTCTACAAACTGAAAGCTGCAAAGGAATTATGTAACATAATTAATATCACTTGCAATGTTTTATTACACTTTATCTAAGTTATTATGCATGAACTAAACAATGTTGTTGTTTATTAACTCACATAGTAATATAATCGTTCAAATGGTATTTTTGTATAAAAGTAAAGTCATTATTGTAAAGAAGGTATTGTCGAATGTTTTGTAATAAATAAGTGCATTTAATACTTATGATATTGTTTAATAAAGGATTAGTAATTAATGTTATTATGGAATTCATATCAGGGAGATTTTTTTTTCTAGTGATAATTTCCCAGTATTCATTTTTTGCAACATTAAGCTCTAAAAAATGTCTTGTTTGAATATAGCATTAAGTATTTCCCAAACTCCCTAATCAAAAAAGCCATACAAGGAGGATCATTAACTTTTATTTAGAACAAATATTTTATTATTTTAATGCTGTTAATATAATAAAAAAAAATTAAGTTTACTATAGTGGATTGAATAAGTCTGCTGAACTTGGTATTTTGTGACGAGTTTGGGTCCTGGCAACCAAACTGGTTAACTGCTGAGTCTTTATGATTTTTCTCATACGTACTGAATTTAAAATTTTATTTTTTTCTTTCTTCCTTTCATGCTGAAGCCGGAAATATCAATTTTTTTTTT